TGCAACTCTTTAATGTATGGTATTACTATTATAAATACGGAATATGATAGGTACAAAACAATTAAAAATGAAGGTCTTGGTTCTCATCTGCTAAGAGCACAGGACTTCCCATAATGCAGAACAAATGTAAAATTTTTACTTACAGAGATAAGTAAAACAATATTCTGCTGTCTGGGGAAATCTGTGCCAGAGCGTTAGCTGGCTTATGGAGGTAGTCTTACAGTAATCTCTGCTTCAGCTCCTGGTATAAGAGGAAGAAGAAAGATTGCACAGGACAAAGCAAACATACACATGGCAGATTTATCCCATGTGATTTTTCACTGTAGTAAGTTCAAGCTTGTGACAGACACTCAGTAGGTTGTTACCACCTCCAACCCACCAGGCTTTTTGTCTGCTCATGAATCAGCTTTGGAACGATTGCCGCTTTCAGCTACTGCATCACATCGGCTAAGTAAATACTCCAGAATGAAAACTGAGCAGCTCAGGAGCCAGTTCGTGTATCAAATATCGCTGTCTTAGAGATGGCGATGCTTTCTATAGCACAGGCAGCTGGAGTTAAATTTTCATTTGTCACCATGTCTGTTAGAACCCACAGTAACAAAATTGAGTTGTACTGTTAGATTTTAACTCTGCTTGTTACCCACCTTCTGCTGGAGCTAGGTAGCATAGGATCAGACAGCTGCAATCAATTTTTGGAAATCACAACTTCTGTTTAGGTAGATCTGAGTCCAAATAATGTATCATACTGACAGCTGGTAGTAGATGGGTCAATAAAAGAGTTCTAAGTGCAAGTACTTGGTTATTAGTGTCTGATGTGTTTTTATGTAGAGCTAAATGCATGTGTTTGAAGAGCTGTATATACAATGAAAACTAATTGAGATGTATAATAAATTGTAACGGCAATTGTATTTCAACTGCTTGATCTTCCCTTACCCAGATGATCCCTGAATTTTTCATTTCCTTTAAACTGGTGCTAACACTTGCTAGGCATTAAATTAGATTGCAAAGCATATATCCACAAAAAAAGGGGGATTCGAATGTGAACCATTGAAGCCATTTAGTATGAAAAAAGGTTCCAAAGAACTGGAATTGTGTGTAGTTCCAATCCTGGAAATATACTCCTGCTGGGTAAAAGAACTAGGAAATTGACTTTTTGAAGGGAAAAGATAAGAAAGGAGGATTCTGCCTTTAATAAATAGAAATAGAGGTAATGCAGGTGGCTGCTTCTCTACCCACCCTCCTATGTGATTTAGAACTCGGCTTTAGAGGCAGCACCAAGAGGTGGAGTTCAACTGCTCAATCCAAAACCTAAAGACACTTAAGAATTCTTAGTCATTGCCTGGCTGATAGGAAGAACCGCGGTGTGTGTTGGATACAATGTAAAGAATCATTATTGTTTTATTTTTTCATGTTTATTATCTAGTTTCCATTGACTGCAGTAAAAAGTTAAGTTTTTGCTCTGCATAACATTTACAACGTTGCCCAGAGCAATAAACCCAGAGCATTTATCTAGAGATACTGAGCTAAGGAGCGTGATTTGCTTCCTCCACAGCCCCTCCAAAGAAGCAACAGCCATAGACAGGTTTGTATGCATAGTGTCTCTCAGGTATCTGCAAACCTGTGTGCTTAAATAGTTTGCTTTTCTAGGAACTCCTAATTTCGTGCATGTAGTTTATCTAAGACATTGTCATGTGTTTCCAGGGCAGGGCCACCTCCAAACAAAACTGATATTACATTAAAAAGTACATTGATGTGTAGAAAAATTCTTCATAGTCATTGGATCTGCTTCGTATGCATGTGTCTTGAAAATAATTTATTTTAACCTACATTTGAAGAATTTAGTGATAGTAATCAAATCTGATACAACTCTGACTTCCAGATCACTGCTTGAGCTAATTATAATAGAAAGAACTTTTTTTTAATGGAAACTGATCCAAACAAGTTACAGTTTTGTAGAAGATTTGCCAAGTGTGTTTTGTGTCAAATATGAGTATGGAAGAACTCTAGCCTTCTTAGAAATAATATCCCTTCTTCTAATAAAGGAACTAAATCATGTGATCTGTGTGGCCATTACCACTAATTTAATACCTGGGATTTAAGGCAATGCGAGTGGCAGGTGAGCTCAGATAGGAAAAATTTGGAGATGTCTAAAACCAGAATAACATTATCAGTAATAGCAGAGGGGGATTTTATTTGAAAAAGTGTGGTGAATCATTCAGGAAGTTGCTATTATTGCCTGTAACGTTTCTCTTTTGCTACATGAGCTGTTGTGAGATGCATAAAGAGGTCTGAAACAGTTTCAGAAGTTTTGCAAATGCTCGGAAGTCTATAAATTCTATTCTGAATTGGGCAAACTTGATCTGAGCTACTAGAGCCATCATTCATGTTGTTGGTGACACAATAGAATTAATTCATTGTTGTTGTGTGGCGTTGTAATACCACTATTATATATTGACTAGCTGCATTACTAAAAGGTATTTCATTGTGTCTTAAAATGTAAGAGAGTTACGTATGCCCTTAAGTCAGATTTATACAAACTACACTTTAAGAGACTGTAAAAGGGTTTGGATGTTCTTGCTGGGGTAAAGAATTCAGAATTCATTTTATGATAAACTAATATACAGTAGAAACAATGTTCATGCTTCCCCCCACCCCCCAGCCAGGTGATTCTCAGATAATTGAAATCATCTTAGGGCAAATAATTTCTTAGGAATGTCTAAGGATGGCAGTGACTTTAACATTCAAAAGCAATTGAATCAATACACAATGAAATTCCTTACATAGACTTTTCTCCCCCGGGACAGAATTGGAATTGGTCAGATTGTTAGTTTTTGTAAACTGGGTGGGATAATTTAGTATTCCATGTGCCATTTCTTACTCTTTTTTTTATTTCCTTGTCAAGCAATTGGAACATTTTTCTGCTAGTTATCAAGTAGAAATTGAAGTTGCTACCCTAGGAATAAAAGCCTCATTTCATCCTAGTTTTCATATTTTTCATTATCTCTGAAGAATGGAAATATTTAACTTAGTAAAACTGAATATAGTCCTTCCTTTTTAACATTCAGACTAGAGGCTGAAGACAGTAAGCATTTGGTTTTATCTTCTGAAACTTTATGTGTTTGGGATTTACTGAGTTCGTATTTCTGGGTGTTTTAAAGTTAAGCTCTTCTGAAAAAGGGCTATTCATCAAACTGCCTCTTTTTGGAAATTTACCTGTATTTTGATTGTCTTGGCAGCAATGCTGTATTATTCTTACTTGGATGTTTTGCCAATCTTCAGAACTACTAAGAAGGAGACTTAAGTCCTTTTCTTGAAAAATTTAGTTTCTCCTGGAATTTAGCAGTTCGAAAGCAGTTTGAGCTATTCTTTTTATAATTGCAGGGTACTGTGAAATTTCTGCAACTACAATATTATGCTCCATTTCAGGGTTATGTTCACTATGGAATATAATATACGTAAAAGATTTAAGATAGTAACTCAATCGTCTGTCCTGCCTGAACACAAAATGTGTTCCAAGCACCATTTAAATTTTATGATAACAAAGGTTTATGGAACATTGTCTGAGAACCTGTTCATGTTAAGAACATCCTAGAAAATATTTGCCACTTTAACTAACACTGGTTCAGCTCTCATTGTACCACTCTAGCAGACATTGATTCTCTGGGCTGTTGAATCCTTTTTAAAGATGTTGTTGCATAATCTGGCTGGATTGAATTGGAAGGGTTACTGACAGGAATGGCACCTCCTGATGTACTTAAATGATAGCTCTCAGTGTAGCATTTCTTGGTGGATAAGAAGAAATTATGCCTATATACTTACAGATGGGGAGAGACTGAAGTGTTTTATCTTAATAGGGTAATAATTTTGTATTGTGGTTATCTTTGTATGTATACCAAACCAGACTTTTCAATGTATTGGGTGAAATATTTTAAAATCTTAACAACTGTCATGAGTCTGCAGCAGGCAGACAGATCACCAGTACCCCTTTAAGCACAAGTCAGAGGTGAGGAAGATAATTCAAGTTTCTCACATTTACTGCTAGAGGAAACAAAAAGAATTATTGATTGGGAAGATAAGACCGTGTACAGGAAAGCAATTTTAGCAATTCTGGCAGTTCTTTCTATATAGAATGAATAATTAAGAGGGTGGCATGGATTGAATATCTGTTTTAGGCAAAGCAATAACACCACGGTCTGATTTTTTTTTTTTTTTTTTAAATTGTAAATATGTAGTAACTATTACTACTATCAATTATATAATTTTTTTTAACATTTTATTTGAAGGAAAAAAGGATGGGAAAATATATTCTGTGATTATAAAACACCGAGTGACTTATGGTCATATACTATTTAGAGTGTCAGGGAGGAAATGCTGGTATTCAGAAACTAGAAAAGAAAGAAATATTTTTCATTGTTGTCTGTAGGGCACCCCTTGCTATTTTTTGCTCAGCCATAGCTTTAAGACTTTCCTGTGGCTTTCCCTGCTTTTGGAATTTCTAAAAAAATGGATTGGTTTGTTAGTTCAGAAAATAATTTGTGAAAATGTTGCTAGCACTTTTCAATAAATGGCAGGTTGTCTATTCATACCACATAATACTGGTGTATTTTAGCAAAGTGGAAGAAACCATTATGGTTTAGATCCTGTCAGAATTTAAAAACTCAAATGTCTAATAGTTAAAACCAAGAAATAATTTCATCCCTGGAGAAAGAAGAGGAATAGTTCTGCCATATAGCTTTTTTGAGGGATGAGGTAAACAGGACTTGATGCCTGTGGAGAACAAATCCTGACATAAATAGGTGGTTTAAAGAACTGTGACATATGTGACTTTATAGTGCCTGAATTTCCACTGAGAAATTGTAGAAACATGGTAAATCAAAATAAAACAGAGTCTCAGGTGATATTTGTTGTGGCTCCATACTTACTTTGTAGATGCCAAGTTAAGTAGTCAGTGGGTTTATTTCTGACTATGAGAATCCTTTTCTTTTTCTATTCTTTGGCAGCCACGAGCTGTCGCTGGTTTTCGAGGAACAGTACGATATGCATCAATCAATGCTCATAGAAACAGAGTGAGTATCTCAATCTATATCATATCCATCTCTTGAAGCCAAAGGCAGTCAGTAATACAGTTGCTATTGATGTCCTTTTTTGTATTCTTAAGGGTGTATTTATTATGTAGAAATTCATACTTACAAGTTTTGGGAAAGGATAATACCCTTTACTCAACAGTAGGTGAGGGTAAAATAGTTCTTATTGTAGAAATAATAGTGTTTTTCATAGATACCCTTGGTGTTCAATTGTATTGTAAGTTAATAAGTTAAAAAGATAAAGTTACTGAATTTTATAAAATACATAACGTTTAGTATGTTCTCTTAACATCATACACTAAAGAAATCTGAATAAACAGCTCTGCCAGTATAGAGTTTTGCAGTGTAATTTTAACACACTTCAACTTCTGTTTTGTTTCTCTGTATCTTCTGTGGAAATTTACTTCAATGTTTCTACTTAAAATGGTTGCTGGATTTAATTATACAAACTTGTTTTGCAGCATTGATTGTATTAATTTTTTTATATAATAACTTAAGTCTCCAGAGCAGTAAAGAATCTATCTTCCCTTTTGTCTTATGGGTATTTGTAAGATACATTAGAATAATATTTCTTTTTTCACAGGAAATGGGTCGGCACGATGACCTCTGGTCCCTGTTCTACATGTTGGTGGAATTTGTGGTTGGGCAACTGCCTTGGAGAAAAATAAAAGATAAGGTAAACCTAGAAGTGAAACCAAAGAGCACCAGGAGATTCGCTTCTGAATTCCAAGCGAATGCTGTAATAAAGATTCCACTAAGAATCACTGGTTCATTAATTTTATCATTACATTTCCCAGTGTTTTCTAGTGTTAGTTCTCATTGTATAAAAAGCAATCAAGTTCTACAAACTGTTTGAGGCAGGAAGTGGATTGTGCTTCTAGTTTTCAAATGTTTTAAAAGGCAAAAGTAAGTGTATATATGCCACTTATTTAATTTTCCTGTTTTCACTTGAGTACTTTTCGATTTCACCTATCACACATTTAGAATTTCTTATCTATTTTGATTATTAGTGAAATGGGCATTTCTTACTTGCCAATGAACAAAAGTGAATCAGTCAATATGCAGTAGCGCTTTTATTCATACATTGTAGGTGAGGTATACAAAGAAATGAGGACTAATTAGCCTATTATTACTTCTTTCAACTTCTTCTGAAATTAGATTGAAACAAGGTTATTCTCTGATGTGGTTTATGCATTGGTAGATGACAACTTATATAGGTAGCATCTCTTTTTTGGTTTTGATTTACTCATCTTACACTAAACAGGATTTACTAATCTTATGCAATACACTGTGATTACCAAATAAACACCAAAAAGTGACTGAACTTCAGATGATGCAACAGGATATTTAAGTCTTTAAAATATGCTTTTTAGAAGGGTTAGAGTGTCTAATGACAGTCCTTGACATCATTGGCATTCAAACACAGAAGAAAATTAAATGGCTTTTCATACTGAATTTGAAGTTTGTACATTATTTTGCATGTGTACTGAGGGCAATGACAGAATCTCTTATCTTGCTATCTGATGTAGAATGGCCTTCCTCAGTCCTATTCGGTGTAATGTACTTACCTGTCTTTCTGGCCAGTAGTGTATTAAAGGACTGTAAGATACAAGGTGAATATGTTGTAGCACATAATGAAGGCGTGTTAATGTTTGATGTGTTATTTACTCCTAGGAGCAAGTAGGCTCCATTAAAGAAAGGTACGAGCACAGACTTATGTTGAAACATCTTCCTCAAGAATTCAGCATCTTTCTGGATCATATTTCTAATTTAGATTACTTTACAAAGCCTGATTACCAGGTAAATATTTTTACTATTTTGTCTTTCAGATTTTTAAATAGCAGAATTTTATGCTGTTTCATCTTCAATTTTCACAACTCCATTGTGTAGTTTTGGTAGTGATATTATGTATTGTGCCACCACAAAGTTATTTTAATGACCATCTAGTGCCACGGAAACTTTGCAGTTCAAAGGATACATTTTTTTCCATTTGGTAAGAGAAAGGCAGTTTGGTTTCTAAAAAAATTGACAGTTGCTTTGCAGTCCGTATTCTGTTAGGATCAGGTGCTGTCCTACTACTGTAGCCTCTAGCGGGTGCTCCTTTAAGTTAAATTGATCAGATTTTCTCAGTGATTTCTCTGGCAGTTTTCCAAAATCTGGAGCTCAGCACTTATAATATATACATCTAGAGCACAGTGTGCAGCCCTGGTGAGGTTTTAAGACTGAAGTATTGCCTACAGAGATCACCAGAAAACTAATCATTTTTCTTTGTTTAAGAGAGTATTGCTTACTGAAATTGATAGCCTCAGCTTGGAGATAAGGTGATAGGTGGCTGAGAGGATACGCTGTAGAATATGTGTCTTATTCACTCAGTGTTGACCTATGGTTTAACAATAAATAAAACTCAGAGGTAGAACTTTGTTCTATACCAATACGTGGAAAGCAGCAGAGGAATGCTCAGGAAAAGCAGGGAGGGAGGGAGAGACTGAGAGTTTTTTCAGTCTCACAAACTGTGGCAGAAGTTGCACTGTTCGACCATCACACCACAACAAGTTGTCCCTGTGTGCCTTCCCTCTGGCTCCCAGAAACACCCATTACTGTCAGCTTCCCACTTCCATTACCTGTCTGCCTCTGCACATTTGTTCAACTCACTAACTCAGCAAAACCAGAAGGAATGGTTTTCTGCTGGTGTGCAAGCTGAATTGATTGAACTGAATGAGTAAATCATTCTGACTAATTCTGGAATTGTAACTTTGATACTTTGATAAGAATGATTCCTGTGCTTTACTTGGTAAGATTAAGAGAGAGATCAAGATATATAAGATAGGAAATAAGAACTGAAAATCTTAAGGAATAACTAATGTCCTGTTAATAAGTGAATTTCTCTAAATGTACTGGTATGTTCTTTGGCACATTTGCAAAAAAAAAGAATAATCAATTTTTGTGCAAAAATTTGAATGTACAAAAAAAAAAATCTTATTACAAATACAGAAAACGTTCAGCATTCCTGAAAAATAAATACTTTGATTTTTTTTTTTCCTTTTCTATTACAAATTTCCACGGAATTTATCTTATAGTTTACAATTAAGTGATGAAAATGATTAAGAAAGTTTTGAGTGTTTTGTGTGCCTAGTTATAATGATGAATCAGATTTATTTTTTTCTTCTATGGTAAAAATTACTGATTGCAGAAATTTTGATGTTGCATGGAAACCCCTTGATTTTAGACTGGTAAATTTATTTTATTTACATTATATATCCTGAATGATAAAACATAAGCACAGGCCTATTGTTGCAAAACCTTTTTTTTGTGGTCTACTTGTATCTAACACAGCACAGGCACTGAGGGATTGACGTGATACACGGATAGAGTTTCTCCATGATAGAGACAGCCCAATAATTTACAGTCTTCTGGTTGGTCATGGAACATTTGCAGTTGTGTCGCTGCAGCCTGAGCCTTCCGACACAGTCTTGCTCGGGTGCTTTATATCAGAGCAGGGTGGTTTTATTTAGAGCGATGAGAAAGTGCTTTACTTTCCATGGTCATTTAAGCTCTGGTCTCTCTTAACTGTTATTTGTTGTAGCAATGCTACTCATACCTTCAATATGTATCATTCTTTGTTCGTATTTACGGTTAGGCACTGAACAAGAATGCACATGGTCAAGATCCCTGCTTTGAAGTGTTTACAGTCTAAAGCTCATGGCATACACCCAGAATTCACCTTTGATTTGGCTGTGTCAGATATGTTTATTCTATTCAGGTATTTATTCCCACATTGCCTCAGCCTCCTGACATCATTAAGCATTTGAGTTTGTATTTCCATTACAGCAGAGACTGTAGAAAAGATTTAAAGGAGAACGACATTAAATTATTTCAGAGAGACTGCATAAGGTTTACAGGAAGAGGAGAATAAAGGAGAGTACATATGGGAGAGAGAGTGAACTATGGCTTTGTCCAGTTCAGTGGGGTTTCAGAACTGACTGGGATAGATGGCATCGAAGGTTCTTGAGAGTGAGGATAAAATAGATACAACCACTTTATAAATAAAAATGATCCAAACTTCCCATCTGTTTTAAGTTGCCAAAGGATATGTGTTTTTAAAGGGAGCCAGAGAAAAATTTGCAGCATCCTAGATTGGAAGAAAGAACAAGAACAAGAGTTTTAGCTTTTAGGGGGGGAAAAAAAAAAAAAGATTAATTTTAGAAATGTTAGAGGGTAAGAGATGATGTGATATGGACACAGCCTTCCTACCAGTGACTAGAACAAGACAAATTTTTTCACAGAGAGAGGAAAGTAGAGGCAATTTCTTTCTCTGTCATGGACACAAATTGTTCTAGATGCTATTTCACAGCCTAAAATGAGTGTGGAAAGCTTCCAGTGTGACATTTCTGTGGGATGAATGTCAGCAATAGATAAAGTAAGTGATACATGGTTCTAAAGTACTGCACTGTATGAATTAGCAAACCAGTATCCTCCCTTATGTACTCCTCATTCATTTCCTTGGTTTCTAGTGGTGTTACTGAATATATTCTTTTATCTTCCTCTGATGGAGTCATTGGATGCTATTCTGCAGCAACATAGTCATGGCTCTATGTTTGTGTGTGTCTTTCTGTCTTTTTATGGAAGCCTATGGTGTATCTTTGCCTCTCTTTACTGATAAAAACACAAATGTGGTTTGTTTGGTTTTTTTTTAAATAAAACAGGATTTTGCATATCTTGACTTAGAAACCTTGGAAAATGATAAATGGTTAATATAAAGAACTGTGTCCCTTTTTTTGGAAAATTGTCAGCCAAAATCTTAAAGAAGAGACATGTTAAAGTATTACAAAAGGATATTTCTTAATTGCTTGGTCTCTTATACAAAAATGAAGCTTATTAACTTTTTTCTTCATTTTTAGCTTCTCATGTCTGTGTTTGACAACAGCATGAAAACGTTTGGGGTTATTGAAAGTGACCCTTTTGACTGGGAGAAGAGTGGAACTGACGGCTCTTTGACAACGACAACAACTTCAACTACACCTCAGTTACACACTCGTCTTACTCCAGCTGCAATTGGGTATGTATGCACATTGTGGTCACTTAAAAAGCAGCTGCAGAGTACCAAAGGAAAATTATCTTCATAATTTAGTTTTTTTCTGCAGGATGTTGAATAGAGGAATGGAGGTTTGGGAGCATTTGACGTATTTCCCTTTTTAGGGTTGCCTGAAAGGTCAGCAATGCGGCCCTAAATTTATAGCAATAAAAACTAGTATCTCAGAGAATTGCATGTAAATTTGCTAGTCCATCTGTTGCTAAATCATATTTTGTGGAACTAAACGATGCATCCTGAGTTTAACTGCTGGGAAATAAACCCATTGTTTTCTGTAAGCTTGGAATAAACTACTAGCTGCAATTTCCTTATAACTTTGATAAATGAATGGATCTTTATAGGAAATTTGGAAATAGATTTTGGTTGTGTTTAAAATAATATTTAATGTGGTCTTTGAGACCTTCTTTAATTAAGCAAGTTGGATGAGATGTGATATTTAATAATGCCCATATCCATCTCAGGGGATTGGCAAACATAAGAGTTGTTTATGGGTGAGGAGGAAGACTTTGTGTCTGTTTTAGGCCTTGAGTAGATCAACTTTTTATCTGAGAGTCATGAAGGTTGTGACATGGGAGTTTTGACAATGTAGTTAGGCTGAAAACCACCAAAATTTCACTCAGAATACATTAAATACCCAGTATTTCAAGGTAATTTAAAAAAAAGTGCTAAAATAAATGTCAGTCAAGACATTAACTGGTTTTAACATTACACAGGTGTATGGTGTTCACTGTTGAACACACTGAAGTTGACAGGGATTTTGTGTATGATTCAGTCCCATTATCACACTAAGCATCACACTGGAGTTATTGATAGTCTTGGCTGCAGTTAACAATTTTGGTGAATGTAAAGGAATGACTTTTAATTGACTTTCTGACCATTCACTTTTTAGGAATAGCATTGCTTCAGTTTCAGATACTGAGCTAAGCCTTAGCCCTGTTTAGCCCCAAGTCAATGGGACTACAGAACTTTAATTAAAATGTAATGTTGTGTTAGCATTATGCTTATGTTTTGATTATCAATAATTGGACCAAAATAGCACTTTGGTAAGAATAGTGATTAAAAATGCATTTAGTTTGCTGAGTGATCTCTCTTCCTCACACATATGTTTTTTTATTCTACCAAATTTTGGGGAAAAGGAAACTATATGATGAAAGTTACCATTAATTTTTTTTGAATAGAAAAATGTATGTAGAAGCGTCATGAGTGAAGCTGAACCTGGGCATGATCTCTAACAAATTTTCTCAGAAGTTGCTTCAAAAACATTCAAGAAGCCTGCTTTTAAGTGATTGGTTTTTGATTTATACCTTTTGTTATGTGCCCAAATTAAAGACACATAAATTGTGAAAGTCAAGAAGTAAGGTTTTGATATTAAATAATTTACAAGAGTTTGTTTTCTACAGAAGCATACTTTTGCTTATAATTTTTTGTTTCTTTCTTTTAGTAGAGTAGAAAAGGCTTTAGAGTAGAAAATAATTTCAAGAAACATATTAGTCTCAAAATTTTTACCTTTCCCTATTTTTCCCTTCCCTTTTTTTTTTTTTTTTTTTAACTACTTTTGTAGAATTGCCAATGCCACTCCTATCCCAGGAGATTTGCTGCGAGAAAACACAGATGAAGTGTTTCCTGATGAACAGCTCAGTGATGGAGAGAATGGTATTCCAGTTGGTGTCTCACCAGAGAAACTACCTGGATCACCTGGGCATCAACGTCCTCAGGAAAAAGATGTTTGGGAAGAAATGGATGCAAACAGAAACAAAATAAAATTAGGGATTTGTAAGGTACTTACAAATCTGCATTGTGAAGACCGTCTTTCAACAGTTTCCTGTCCTCATAGCACACATAGGATTTAATAATGCAGTCTTACTAATATTGATTAGCCAGAATGGTCTAAGAAAACAAGATTTATGGTAGAGCTAACACACTTTATTAGAGAGATTTATATACTGGAACAAGCAGACAAGCTTTTGGGCCTTGTGTCGCTTTATCAGGTCTTCAGGATGAATAGTAGATTGCTGATAATTTGAGATTCTTTGTAGTTTATTCATATTTATATTCTTCAGACATGATTTTGATTCTTGCCCACTGAATGACAGCAAAGCAAATTTCCTGCATCTTGCACGTGTAGAAGTTAATACTGAATATACAAAAAACAGTTTAATACTATACTTCAGTTGACACATTGTGGTTAGCAGTATCCATTTAATTCACTTGGCGGTTTTGTCTCTGTAAGATATGATACCTTTGTACTGATCCAAAATGGTTCATGGGGCTAGTCTTTAGAAGAGAATGCTGCGCAATTTTGAAAAGTGTTCTCTGAGAAGTGGTTCCTGTCTTCCTTGCTCACAATCACATTTCATACTCAGACAAATGTAGTCCTGTTTCTTGATATAAAAATATTTTGAACGTGAAGAGGGATCTGCTACTGAAATGTTCTAAGCTAGGAGAGCTGTCTAGTTTTGAGGTTGTTACTTCTTGGTTACTAGAAAAAATGTATTGTGGGAAAGAATAAGGTATGCTGCATATTTTCAAATGTGCTTATTTGTTTATTTTTTATGAAAGAGGGAGGAAGGAGATCGGTCTGGTTTAAACAAAGGCATTTTCTATTAGTTATATTTGTTGAAACTAAGGATGATCATGATTTCCCAGCTCTAAATCATGTCCAGTTAGTATATAAGGTGGGATGCAGTTGAACTAAAACATAGCTATAAGTCGCAGAAATCTCTAATAGATGTCATGTGTAACAGTGTTATATGCTCCACAGAATTGTAAAAGACAGCTTGGAAACTAACTTATCTTTAATAAGACCACTTGACCGTAAAGCAGACTGAAGATGCTACCAAGTGCTGGGTTTCAGACTGTTATTAAAGAAAATTTCAGAGAAAAGTGCGAAATACTGGAGTAATTTTAAGTAATCTTCCCAGAACTAGTATATTACTAAGTATTTTGTCTGTTGTAGGTGTGTGCCGAAGAGCATATCTAAACTATCTTAACTATGGCATGAATTTAAGGACCATTACAAATACAAATTGGCTTATCGCTGGCTAAAAACCTGGGTGGTATTCACTATGTAGTACCTTGTGTTTCTCTGTTTTGCTGCTCTTAGTGAGTTACATTTTTACCTTACTTCCTTACTTCCGTACTTACCTTACACAGGCTGCCACAGAGGAAGAAAACAGCCATGGGCCAGTGAATGGAATGCTTAATGCACCGAGTCTTGGTTCTCCAATTCGTGTTCGCTCAGAGACCACCCAGCTAGACAGGGATGTCCCACTGGTGCGAAAGTTACGTTCAATTCACAGCTTTGAACTGGAGAAGCGCCTGACATTGGAGTCAAAGCCGGACACTGATAAATTTCTTGAGACCTGGTAAAGAAATTATTTTATTTTTATGCTTAGATCTTTTCAGGATATGTAGTTAAGATTCTATCATCTTTCCTCTACTGGGTGAAAACCAGGAATGGAACTGCTGAGCTATGCCTATGCAAGCTACAATGAAGTATTTAGTATGTTAATAATACTGCTTGATTAATGGATTTCACCACATGAAAGCTTCTTTAAAACAAGATTAGTGCTAGTATACAGTTAAAGTTAGACTTCCACACTTGAGAATTTTTTATTTCAAGACCTAGCAGTGTAATCCTGTTGTTTGTTACCTTTTTCTTCAGTGGGATAATGTTGACAGTCAGTACAACTCATCCTAAATAAGAATGATGACATCAGGTGCTCAATAGAGGTGACATGGGGTTAGATTATGTGACATGAGAAGGACAGTTTACAAGAAGTGGAATTATGAAGTAAAGTTAGAAATTTACCTGCACGCAGCAGGTTTAGTTATGCCCCAAAGGTGTTGCACCAACATAAAAAAATCTTGATACAAGACAGAGGTCTTAACATGGAATTTGAAGGTAGAGAAGAGGCAGATGTTTTAGAACAGATTCAATCAATTTGCCGATGTGTAGAAAGAATCATAGAATTATTAAGGTTGTTAAAGACCTCCAAGATCATCAAGTCCAACTGTCAACCCAACACCACCATGCCTACTAAACCATGTCCCGAAGTGCCATGTCTACATGTTTTTTTTAACACCTCCAGGGATGGTGACTCCACCACCTCTCTGGGCAGCCTGTTCCAATGCTTGATCATTGGAATACGGAGCAAAGGACACAGTCAAATCTGACTGAAAGGCAGAGGCTGAGTGGGGACAGTAGAAGACAGCTGAAATGCTGACAGTGGCAAAATCCTTCTAAATACATCATAGGGGAGTTATGAATTTGAATTTGTTTGATGAAGCAAGTTACGCAAAGCATAAATAAGGAATCAATCAAAACAATCAGTAATGTTCTTCTTGAAAGCATCTACTGACTGCTGCTGGAGACATCTGTTTCTTCTGTTCTGCATGAGTGTCTGCTTTGTAGCATAAATTAAGTGCAGTGCACATCTGGTGGTAGCTTCACCACTGAGTTGGTATCCACTCACTATTCTCCCTTCTGGTAATTACTTTTACAATATAAAATGATACATTACAATTACACTTCCAATATTTGCAAATTTCTAAGACCACCTGTCCATTTTTACTTGACATCAGAGTTACTTCTTAAATTGTGGATCTTTCAACCACTGTAGATTGTTCTAAAATATCACAACAAATTTTTATATAAATCTAGCTCAAATATAGCATGCATTATTAATTCTTAACTAATTCAGATATTAACTTTTTTTCTTAAGTTTGGAGAAGATGCAGAAAGACTTGAATGCTGCGGCAGAGCATGGACCATGTTTGGCACTATGATGAAGAATATCTTCCAGACGCTTCAAAGCCTGTGTCAGCTGGTTCTCCAGAACATGTTGATGGTGGTGTTAGCAATGGATTTGTAGCTGTCAACTTAAGCTCCTCCAGGCAGGAGGCTGATTCTAAGGAATGGGTGATAATAGATAAGGAACGGGACTTGCAGGACTTCAGGACAAATGAGGCGTTAGGGCATAAAATGACTGGAAGTCCCTCAGATGAAGAGCCAGAGGTACTACAAGTTCTAGAGGAGACCCCTCCAGAAGAGCAGCCCAGACAGGGTGGTTGGGCAGGAAACGGAGTCCATGCCAAGAGCCAAGCCTCAGGGATGGAGTTTGTTCTAGCCATGGAGTGTCACCCTGCTGCTTCCGAACAGCTTACAGATAAATTGGAACTTCTGTCCGGAGCTGCTGGACAGCTTCTTGCAGCCACCCCTACAAGTCCTATGGAAGCTCAAGCAGAAGGAGCACTCACTCCGGTAAGAGAAACGGTCGCAGTTTTATCAAACCTCTCTTTATGCAGAATTCTATGAGGAAATAGTAAGGGAAAAGACAAGGCAGTGACTAAAATACAGTAGTGTAGCAGAATTTCCTAGTTTTGTCAGATATGGGACTTGATTCTTGAGGAATGATCTTCCATGTTCTGTTATATGAGTGTTTACATTCTCCCATGGAAGTGGCCATTAGTTCTGCAGGTATGGCCTCAATAGAGAAACAGAACTGGCCTCAATAAAAAAATAAAATAATTATATTTTTTTTCTCTCTCTCTATAAAGAAGCGCCTTATGCAGCTATTCCTAATCAGTGAGAGATACACATGCAAACATATGTTTATTATATTTGCAGTACATAAACATAAAATTACAATGAATGCGTAAAATACCATGCTACAATGTTTGATGTGCTTCAGGAAAAGCCTAAATGGCTGAAATTTTTAACAGAGTTACTTGCTCTCACCATCATTGGTGTAATGTTTTCTTTTGGAATTCCCTTTGTTTTTTCCTGTTTCTTCTGAACTTTCTAATGGCTCTTACACAAATGATGTGTTGGCTTTTATAAATTGTTGCTACTTCTCACTTCCAAGATAATTTTGCAACTACTGCTTTACTCCCAGAGTTTTTACTAAGGCACATTGCTCTGCTTCCATTGCATCCTCCTCTTTTTGTGTTTCTCTGTCTTTTCTAAAGAATTCTCATTTGCACTGATTTTGAACATTTACTTTTTTCTCCTCTGTCACTGATTCTAAACAAAGGTTCTACTAATCATCAGGTGGTTTTATTTTGAAAGCCATTAAAAAACAGCTTGCAATTTTGTATTCAAATGTACTATCCCACTTTATACAAACTTGGCTCTTTTGGGGGAAATAGCTATTTTACTTAAAACTGAAAGCAGCCATGATGTAAGTATCGTACTACAGTGCAAGTAATGGACAAAATATTCATCTGTAAAGGAAGAAGCTTCTGAGCAGGGGAGTAGAAATAGTTGTAAACAAGGTCAATTAATTATAAGATATATCAGAAGAAATAGTGGTTGAAGTAGGCACTGGGGTGAGACTATATTTTAATTCGGTTTTGCAAGCAGGTAAGGGATATTTCTCATTACGTCAAAAATGGGGGACACGAATGTGGTTTGTGTTATCCTGGAAGAGCAAGTAGTACTGTGAGGGCAAGGTAAATGGTAGGAAGGAACTTGCTGTCTTGAAGGTGAATCATGTGGAATTGAAAATGCAAACTGAACGGGGAATAAAAAAAGTAGAAATCATTTGGCTGATTCAGAAACTGGGAACAGAGTGTGTCTATTCCAACTGTGATGGCAATTTGTGGTAGTCTTCCATCTACTGCATTAGCCCTTGAAAGCCAAACAAAGTCCAGGAGGACATTTGGGGTGAGTTGGTCTTTCTGTCCTACATTGATGATATTCCATGTCATAAAAGATGCTTAAATATTTGGGGTGGGTACTGGAACCTAGCTGTTCTTATAGGTGAGTGTCCTAGTCACTTCACAGGGAGACAGTATATATATATATATACACATCTTCATATAGGAGTTCTCCTGGTGACCATAGGGAGCTGTTTGGTAGAGTCCTTTTCCTTCCTTCTTCCTCAAAGCATTTACCTACCTGAAACTGTTCTTTGAATGTGATCCTTGTTTGTGGATCAAATGGTTTTTTTCTTTAGTAATTTTATTTAGGTAGCGCCTTCCTGACAATACAAATAACAGGGAAAGGGTTGTATTTTACATTTCTGCTAATTTAATTATATTGCAACTACACTGGTTACTAAGAGCAGGCTTGGATCCAAGAATTAGGACCATACATCAAATGGCTGAAGTGTTAACTAAAAGGGGTTAAAAATAGATGTTGAACTTACAGTAGTATACTAGCTTAATGTAATTTCTGAAACAGTTTACTCATTTCAAACAGTTTGAAACTCTAGGACATGTCAGCATTCATTGTCATTGTGCTTATGAATATACCTCCCATATGGATTTCTAGTGACCTGCCTCACTATCACTTAGGAGAACGTATGATGAATTATGCTCTTTGAGCTTATTCTGATAGGTTTGTTAAATGTGCAAGCAATTACTTCAATGGTAAATGAATAAAATAGTTTTCCTGGTTTATGTAATTTTTTTTTTTCATTTTTACTTTGATGATTCTTCTTTATTCTTTATTTCTTTCAGGGCTTTATTGTTCTCTTTATTGTAGTAAGTTCTCTTTATTGTATTAAGTGGTAGAAAGGATGTTTCTGTGTGAGAAACTATATGTTCATATATGACCCATAGTTCTATTTTCTCCTGAAGGAAAGAAATTGCTGGTCTGCAGTCCTTCCATTTGTAGATAAATGTTCTTTCTGAAACTGTGTGTACGCGCATTTCCTGTAATTGATGATAATATAATTTTGTATGTGTTTCACACAGCATCAGTTGTCTAATAAGAACGTAAAGTTTTAGCCGTTCAGGAAGGAAACTTGAACTCAAAAAATAAGACAGAAAAATGTGTAAGTTATTGGCTTGGGGATGAGCAAGTTTCAGGCATAAAAAATTACAGCAAATTATGCTGTCTATTATGAAAAAATGCTGCAGGTAAAAGAACTGATTTTCATGTTATCACTCATGCTTTTCCAGTTGTAATACAGATTCTGTGTGCTACCAGAAAATACCAGTTTGATCTGGCTCAGTCATGGGCACATGGTCACATTTCTGTTGAACTATTCAGAGCATGCTGCTAGGATATATATGCTGACTTTATGCTTTTCATAAAGGCTTTATGTTGACTTTGGCTGCAGGATGACAGACAGTACCTGATTTGCTGTAATACCTGTTGGTATGAAGTTAATCTGTCAAAAGAATTTGCACTGATCTAGAGTAATTGTGAATTTATACTGGAGCAGCACTTTGCATCATACAGCTCTATTTTTCTTTTCCTTGATCTGGTACTAAGAGCCTAAAGCTGGACTTCCTGTGCTGTTGAACCATGGCCTCATTAATTTACTGTGTTTATATTGAATTGCAGTGAACTCCATACAGTGCATGCACAAAACTTTGCAACATATATTTGTCAAGCAGATACTTCAGCAAAGAAATAATAGTGGGGTTGAAGTAATCCAATATATAACAGCTAATTCCATTTTCATCTTCAGTTTAAATTAAACAACAGTTTGCTCTGGTCACACTTGTTTGACAACCTAATACCATATATATGTGTGTGTGTGTGTGTATGCATGCATGGTTACAGAAGCAGTTTGACTGTGTGAATCTACTTATTATTTAGAAATATTGCTGAAATTAGCATTTTGTATATTGAGGTGCTATTATGTTTTATCAAAAACCTGCTTTTAAATTTCCATTTATTTCTGAGTTCTAAGTCATTTAATTTTCATGTATCTTCTATCCTCCCTTGCTGCTTTTATGAGACACTGGAAATCCTACATTTTTCCAGTTGGGAGACAGCTATGCATTATGGGCACTGAAGCTTTAGGACTGACAATTGAATATACCTGTTCCTCAGAAACTGAAATGCTTGATAGGTGTTCTCTTTTTTTCCAAGGAATACAGATTAGAATTGCAAATACCATGGTAGAAAACACAAAATCACCTTCATGAAGCTTGCAAAAAGTTTCCATGTCTCTACTCTTCGTGGTTTTGTCTAAATGTACTCGGAATAAAGATTTGCAAATTGTGTATAGCAGTCTCATTTACAGGTATTTAGATGTGTCACCATCAGTTATTTATTCAGCGCTGGAAAAGGTCTTGCAAAGAATCAGTTGATTTCAGAGTTGTATGTCAAAACCATAAGTTTATTAGAGTCATCAGTTTGAAAATGTACTTTCTCTGAAATTATTAGTTTGGAACGCTCTGGCTTTACAGTTCCTGTTTTGTTGTTTGGTATTTTTTTTTTTTTCTTTTTTTTCCTCTTTGCTAAATGCTCGAGTGATGTAGTTCAAGATGAAGCAATTGTTTGTGGATTCCCCAGGCCAGTGTATTCTTCTAGTTTGATCCCATATTTGGGAAATTTCATCAAAATTATTTAGTACTAATCCTACTGGTCAATCCTGGCAGCAACGGTTCTTGATATATGCTGCTATAGCCGTAGTTGTACAGTCACATTTGTAAAGCCTGCAGTGGGTGTATATGCTAACAATATAGTCATCTCAGAAAACAATGTTGCATGGATGGGCTAAGCATTTGCAAGGACCTGTCAACAATCAGCTGGTTTGTATATGCAATGTCCTTGGTACAGACTGTGTCAGTTTATGAAATTTGCCGTAGATTGTTACTGACTGACTGAAGGTAGGAGCCAGCGAGAGAAAGGATGCTCACTTTTGATTTTGATACTGGGTTTTTAAAGACTGGTGGAAAATGTGAAGATTAGACTTAAGATACTGCTTAAAGTATCAGCTTTTAGTCCGTGAGGGAGTTGTGAATTTGATCTTCTAAGAGAGTGCATATAGGCAAGACATAAACAAGAATTATTAAAATATTGATTTTTTCAACCTTATTTTCTTCCCCGCCGTATTGTTCTCACAGCTCAACTCATCTCATATGCTGCATTTCTCCACTCCAAGAATTTCAAGTCCCATCCTCCGCACCATGAGCCCTATAGCCTATCTATCCATCCACTCGGACCCTCTGAAAGAGGCTGGTTTACCAAGGAGTCAATCAGCTGAGAGCCACTCCTCTTCTTCCCGCTCAACTGGTCGTAGGCAGCTTCCTGTCATTCCCTGTGGCAACAAGTTCCCCCCTGTCATTCGCATCTCAAAAGCACAACTTCAGCAGGTGAATAAGCCTTGTCTTCATAAAAGTGACTGCATTGTAGCAGTCATCTGCAAAGTTTAACATTTTCAGTTGCTCTGCACAGTCCGGTAGTAGGCATATGCTAGTCATACTGCTATACACAACATCCTAAAAAATATTTTGAAAGATCAAGTTAGGGAATAAGAAAGGGTCTTGTTCAGGAATAGAGTCAGGAATACTCTATGA